AGATTCACTATATGTCTATGCAAACCTAATATAAATAAAGCATTAAATAACAAGTCTCGTAAACGGCTACCTAAGGTATTATCTGTATGTCTACGATAATACATGCAATCAACACACGCATTCGGTGAAAAATTACTCGAAGGCTCTTCTATCCCTGTTCCAATTATTAAAACGATCTGTCAATCAATTCTAACAATAACAAATAGCAACATAAGTTAGCTACGCTCATGCACTAAATACGATCAAGATAGAAGAAATAATCGAAGAATTAAACTTGCATAAAAGTAGAAAAATAGGTTCGAGTTACCACATAGGGTTCCAATAAAATCCTAGAATAAAAACTTAGCTACTCATGTTCGTAACGAAAAGCATAATAAAAATACGGAAATTCATAAAAATCAGAAAAGAAAAGGAAAAAGGAAACTAGGATGAAGATTCGTCAAGTCTTCGTCTTCGTTCTCTTGCTCCTCGATTGCGTGTAGAAACGATAAAAACTCCAAATAAAAATAAAAGGTAAAAGATTAAAGATGGGTCTAATTGTGTGCTTGTGGCCTTTAAATATGGTGCAAAAATCTAATAGGGCGGGTTTCCTTGTATAATTGAGTTCCCTTCACTGCGCCATCACGTCCACTCACACGGCCGTGTGAGATTTTGAACTAAAATCCGCACGGCCGTGCGGTCTTTTAATTCTTCAGAAATCTGCTTTTTTCACTTTTGGCCCACTTTTTCTCTGAATTTGCAGTTTTCACCCCAAAAGTTGTCAATTCTTCAATTTGCACCTAAAATACAAATAATAACCAAATTAAGCACCAATTATCGTAAAAACACACCAAAAGCTCCAATTAAAAGGTATAATTAAGTGTATAAATATACACTTAACAGCCCTCTTTTAACTAGTCAAGATTTGTTTGGTTTTTTGGATGGTACCGTTGCAGCTCCCTCGCCAACAACTACTGCGTCTGACGGCACTATAACAACCAATCCAGTATATACTTTTTGGCTACACACTGATCAGATGATACTCAGTTTACTCTATTCTTCCCTTATAGAAGAGTCTATGAGTGAGGTACTGGTTTAAGTTACTCCCGTGGACTTGGCGTGCTCTTGAAGTCTCTTTCTCTAATCGATCAAAGACCCGTGAATTGCAACTCAAGGACGAACTCCAATTGATGCAACGCGGCTCTCAGTCCATTGCTCAGTTTTCCCGCACATTCAAAGGTCTTTGTGATCAATTGGCTTCCATTGGACGTCCCATTGATGACACCGACAAAGTCCACTGGTTTCTATGAGCATTACGATCTGACTACAAGATCTTTTCAACCACTATGATGTCATTGCACCCGATTCCCTCTTTTGCTGAGATTGTTCCAAGAGCTTTGAGTCATGAAATTTTCGAAAGATCTATTTCTCACTCGGCTTCCAATTCTTCTTATTATGTGCAGCAGGTTCCGAAAATGGGAGGAGCGAAACGAGGAAAACCTCGCAATTTCTCTTTCTCGACAAACGGTGTTAATCCAAAGTCGTCCACTTCTCCGATTCACTGTCAGTTGTGTGACAAAGATGGACATACAGCTAAACGTTGTTGGACATTCTTGAAAACTAAGAAGAAACAATCGGCTAATCTTGTTGAAGCCTTTTCTGCATGTTCACGTTAAGATATAAATGACTCTGAATGGTTCCCAGACTCGGGCGCAACATCTCATATGACAAGTCACGTTGACGGTTTGGATCAATCAGCTACCTACTCCGGTAATGAATGTGTTACGGTTGGAAATGGTCGGTCTTTAGCTATCTCTCATACCGGTTCGATTTCATCTCTTGTTCCGTCTAGTCCCCTTCTCATATCTAACATCTTAGTTGTTCCTGGTATTAAGAAAAATCTTATTTCCATCAGTCAACTTACTAAAGAAAATAATTGTTTTGTTATTTTTTCTTCCTCTAGTTTTACCATATAGGATCGGGTCACAAGAACGGTACTGGGAGTCGGAAGATGTGAAAATGGTTTCTATATTTTGGAACAACGACATCATAATTTTTTGTCCACCACAACTTCTTCACCACGAGCTTCTATTCATTTGTGACACGCTCGTTTAGGTCATCCCAATTATCGCATTGTTGCATCCCTTTTCTAGATTAGGATCTATTTCTTGCAGTAATAAACTCGTGAGTCATATTCCAACGTTTGTGTTGGCTGTAGACTTGGGAAAAGCCATTGTTTACCTTTTTCTCTTAATGATGAATGTTGTGCCATGTCTTTTAATCGTTTACATTGCGACTTATGGGGTCCTTCGCCTGTTCTTTCTTTTACTGGATATAGATATTATGCGGTCTTTATTGATGATTGTACCAAATTTAATTGGATATTCCCACTAAAATAAAAATCTGATTTTTTTGAAACTTTCGTTCGCTTACAAAAATATATTGAGACACAATTTTCCACCAAAATTAAATCCTTTCAGTGTGATGGCGGAACCGAGTTTACAAATAATAAATTTTGATCTCATTTGCACTCTTGTGGTATTGTGCTTCGTTTGTCTTGCCCTTATACTCCTAGTCAAAATGGTATTGCAAAACGCAAACACCGTCATGTGACCGAAACTGGCCTAACCCTTATGTTTTATGCCAATGTACCGCTCTCTCTATGGGTTGAAGCTTTCTACACTGCCGTTTTTCTCATTAACCGACTTCCATCACCGTCTTATGATGGCAAAACTCCTTACGAGCTCCTATTTGGTAAGTCACCAGATTTCTCTATGTTGCGCACCTTTGATTGTCTTTGTTTTCCTTATTTACGTGACTACTCACCCAAAATTATCTCCGAAATCCACTCCTTGTGTTTTCCTAGGTTATAGTACTCTCCATAAAGGGTATAGGTGTCTAGATCGCAAAACCAAATCGTGTTTATATTTCTCGAATATGAGCTATTTTATGAGCATAAGTTCCCTTATCACGGTGACTCTATGCATGACCTGCAGACTGATATTGATTACACTCAATTTTCATAATGTCATGATTGCGTCTCTAATTCTTCTAATGTTGATTATTCCCCTTCAATTTCCATTTCACCATGTTTTCCTTGTAGTGATTCTCTGCAGCCTATATCGTCGAATAGTTCCCCAAATTCAGATACTTCTACTCATGTAGAAAATTTATCGAATTTAGCAGCCCCTTTCACCGCCTATTCCTCCGCCTCCTCATGTGACCACTTCCAGCCATCCAATGATTACTAGAGCGGTAAACCTGGTATATTCAAACCACGGCTATATCATGCTATGAATGTTGTGTCTTCGTCTCAGGTTTTTCAAGCTCTTCTTTCTCTCAAAGAGTCCAGGGATTTTAAATCAGCAGCAAAACATCATGAATGGCTCTCGGCTATGGATGATGAAATTCAAGCTTTGAAGAACAATCATACATGGATTCTTGTCCATCGTCTACAAAATCATAATGTCGTTGGATTTTCAAAACCAAACTCCACTCAGATGGGTCTATTGAGCGCCACAAGGCCCGTTTGGTCGCTCAGGGGTTTTCTCAGATTCACGATCTTGATTTTGGAGATACTTTTAGCCCTTTTGTGCCACCTGCCACTGTTCGACTTATTTTATCGTTGGCCATTACGCTTGGATGGAGTTTACACCAGGTAGATGTTAAAAATGCATTTATTCATGGTTTTTTTGAATGAAGAAGTGTATATGGAACAACCTCTGGGATACATCGATCCACAATTCCCTCAGCATGTTTGTCGCCTGAAGCGAGCTCTTTATGGTTTGAAACAAGCTCATCGAGCTTGGTTTCATCGGTTCAGCTCCTTTATGATTACCCTTGGTTTTATGTCGAGTCAGATTCCTCATTGTTTGGTTACCACTCCTCACTTGGAATGATTTATCTCCTTCATTATGTCGACGATATGGTTATTACTGGCAATAATCCTTCCCTGGTTCAAAACCTCATTTCTCGGCTCTTCAAGGAATTCTCAATGAAGGATTTGGGTGATCTTCATTATTTTCTCGGTGTTGAAGTTCAATCTTATGACAAAGGTTTATTTCTAAGTCAAACAAAGTATGTTCTTGATCTCTTACAGCGTGCTTCGATGATTGATGCAAAGCCTATCTCTACACCTTTTGTTGTCGGTGCACATCTCTCTGCCGAAGGACAATTATTTCCAGATCCTACATTTTGTTTCGCTCTCTTGCCGGTGTTCTTCAATACTTGACCATTATCAGGCATGATCTCTCCTTTAGTATGAATTCCATTTGTCAATTCATGCATTCGCCTACCGAGGACCACTTTCGTGCTCTTAAACGTATCTTACGCTATGTTAAAGGCACTCCCCATAATGGACTTCAACTTCATAAACAATCCACTCGAGAGCTTCTTGCCTACTCGGATTGGGCTGGATGTCCCGATACACGGCGATCAACGACGAGCTATGCTATCTTTTTTGGTGCCAATCTAATATCTTGGTCTTCTAAGAAACAAAATACTGTCTCTCGTTCAAGTGCCGAAGCTAAATATCGTTCATTGGTTGTTGTCGCTGCCGATATTGTTTGGGTTACTCAATTGCTTCGGGATCTTCGTGTTACACTCGCAGCCCCACCTAAACTTCTTTGTGACAATCAAAGTGCGATCTTTATGGCAGTCAATCCAATTACTCGACCTCGATCGAAACATATTGCTATCGATTATCACTTTGTACGGGAACTTGTTGCTAGTGGCACTCGGAAAATTAACTTCGTTCCCTCACATTTGCAACTTGCTGACTCCTTCACCAAAGGCGTCTCCAAGCCGCAATTCATTCTCTTTCGCGGCAAGCTCAGCGTTCTACCTTCAGCCACGCTCACCTTACAGGGGGTGATAAGGAAGAATCGAAGACTCTCCATGATTTTAGAGAAAATCAATTTGGATCATTAATATCCCATTGATTTAGTTGTAGATATACATAAATATATTTTTTCCTATATTTTGTAGAATATCACTCTTCTGTAATTAATTTTATATATTGAAATCATCTCCCCATTTACTGGTAAGGAGATTTCCAACCACTTCTTATTGTATCTCTTAAACACTTTTACTTTGAATGCTACCGGTGACAATTCGTAGGATATACCGAGGTTTTGTTCATACAGGAATCCTAGAAAGTAGCATCCATGTTCAAATAAACTTGATTTAATTTAATGATTCCAAATAAATATTAGGTTCGACGAGTAATATGTGTTGTAAACTAAAGCTAGAGCTTATGTTCCATTAGAACCAACAATATTCTAGAAACTTAATTCTAGCTAAATTTCGCTGAGAAAAATATTTAGATACCATTATGGATAGTTCTAATAGAGAAACTATAGCCATTAGACTAAGGTAATTTCAATCGTTTGATTAGGAAGGATACTGGCTATAAATAGGAGTCAGGGCCAGCCCTACGTTTCAGGGACCCTAGACAAAATACGTAATGTGACCCTTAAATATATATATATATTTTTATATGTATTTCATTTATTTTTATAGATGTAAACATATTATTTCAACTTTTCACACTCTTTTCTAATCGACTTATTTTTATACAAAAATGGACAAGTCATTTGATTTTTTTTGTGACATAACATAAATATGTTGTAACTTTGAAAAACTTAATTTCCCTCTAATACTCCCTTGTGAATATTTTGGTTACAATCAGTTAATGGAGACAAAAGTTAGAATATTAGCATTTCTAGCTTAATAATCAAGATATTTGAGTTCCCAAATTTTTATAGTAGCACATATATATATTAAACCTTACTTATCGTACCAATTTTTTACAGTCACACAACCATATATTAAATCCTAAAAAACTCTTACATTAAGAAACCCTTAAGGATTTGCATGGCGCCTACGCCGGTAGACAAAAACAATTCAACGCCGCAGAAGATTGACATTGACCATCAATCAACGAAGGCGGAATTCTTTTTCTTCATAAAATTAAAAAAAAAAAAAAAATCAAAATCAAATTTGTCGTCTAAATTAATGAAATTGAAGTTCAATTACGGTTTACAATTAGAAATTGAGTTTGGTTGGTGAAATTTTGTATTAGATATTAAGTTTGTATTTTTCTATAATACATGGGATGAGTTTATTGACGAAAGAGAAAAAATACCTACACCTAAATTAGTAAAGGTCGTTGGTCATGGCCTTTTCTCGTAACAAACCCTATAAATAAAGTTATTTCAATTAACAACGGTTCTCCAATCCATGGTCTAAAATTGTTTATATCAATTACAAATACTGAATGCTAACCGTCGTTTCAACTTAATTTATCGATACAATTTTGAATTTCAAAAAATTCAAATCCTCAAAGTTGTAGAGAATTTTCATTCGTTCGCGCATCTCTCTCTTAATCTACATTTTAGTATGGTAAGTGGCTTTTAGTTTTCAAATTAGTTCTTAAAATGATTTTTGGTAATTTTAATAGAGACCGAGTCCTTTGCGATATTTAGGGCCCGTTTCGCTAAGCTTATTTTAAATAGTTGATAAGCTCTTACGTCTGATAAGATGTTTTAAAAGCTGATAAGCTATTACATCTTATTTTTAGAATTAATTTTTAAGGTGTTTGGATAATGTGTTTATTTCTTATTTTTACTCATTTAAATATCTTAAATAAAAATGTGGGGGTATATGTATTTTTTTAAGGGGTTTTTGTGCATAAGTCCCATATTTATTATTCTAGGTTTAGGGGCTATATCTCTTTTACCAATAAGCCAATCCCTTTAATATTTATTTTAAAAAAAAGGAAAAATTCATGTATATGACAAAATTACCCCCAACCCTTTACACCCAATTTTTAATTGTAACCCCAATTTAATCAATTTTGACATTTTTGTTTTAAAAACTTTTTTTTTCAAAAAAAAAAAATTTTTGCCGCCGGGATCCGGCGTTGACTTTTCGATTTTTTATATTTTTTTAATATTTTTTTCTGATCTGTTTTTTCCGCCGTCGGATTCTGGCGTTGACTTTTTTCAGTGTTTTTAGTTTTTTTTTTTTTTTACGTCTGCCGCTAAACGTTGACCGTAATTGTGCTGTTATTAACGGTAATTATACTGTCACTGACAGTAAATTAACGTAATTATACTGTCACTGACAGTAAATTAACGTAATTATACTGTCACTAACAGTACATTAACGTAACTGTACTGCCCTTGACAATACATTTATGTAAATGTATTGTCGTTAACAACAAATTAACGTAATTTTATTATTATTTTTTTTGTTAATTTTGTTTGATTTGTTGACAAGTCAACGTAATTATATTACTGTCGTTGATAGTAAAATAACTGTAAACACAATAATATTATTGTCAACCACATCAATATTAATAATATTTTTTTGGGTTTTTTTGTTTTGTTTGAGTTATTCACGGAGTAACGTAATCATATTACTATAAAATAATATTACTGTGGTTGACGGTAATATTAATGCCAACCACATCAATATTATTATTTTGTTTGGGTTTTTTTGTTTTGTTTGAGTTATTCGCGGAGTAACGTAATAATATTACTGTCTATTATTGTAATATTACTATGGTTGACGGTATGTTGTTATAGTAATATTACTATCACTCACAGTAATATTAATTCTTTTGGCTTTTTATTATGTTTACATTTGTTGAACGGTCAACATATTAATATTACTCTATTACACAATAATAATGAGTTTTATTGTGTTAATATTACTGTGCTAGAGATTAATATAACAATATTATTGTGTTAAAATGTAGTATAGTTAATTTTATTGTGTTTAACAGTAATATAGTTAATATTACTGTCAATCACAGCAATATTGTTGTTTAAAAGAAAAAAATGTTATAGAAAGAAACAAAAAATACATCTAAAAAGTCAACGCTGGAAACCGGTGGCGGAAAAATCAGGAAGATGATTTTTTTTCGAAAAAGTCAACGCCGGAATCCTGCAGAAAAAAAGGAAGAAAAAAAAGTCAACACCGGAGACCGGCGGTCAACAGCGGTTGACCGGCGGTGACGAACGAAATTGTCCATAAAATTGTGTTTTGGGTCAAAATTGAATAATTTGTGAAATTTGGGGTCAAATTGAGGTTTGATTAAATTAAAGGATGAAATTAGAGCATATTAAAATATGAGGGGCTATGTTAGTCTTTTACAAACCTCTGGACCATGTGTGGGACTTTTTTATAAAGGAGTTTATTGTCTAGATCTCTTTATGAATAAATACTCATTGATGGGTTTATTTGTAAAGACCTCTTTTTTTAAAGATCTTTTGGTCTCCAACAGCTTATTTAAAAAACAATTAAGATCATTTTTTAAAAAATTACCAAACACTTTAGAAGAACTTATAAGTTCTAAAAAAATTTATAAGCTTATTTTAACACTTATAAACTTAGCCAAACACCCTCTTAATCCAGACAAAGCTAAAACTTAAAAGTTGGCAACATAAAGCTACTGTAGCAAATTTCATAAACATCAAAAAGATCTATACAAATTGCAGGTTTATTGCATTTAATAATTCGATGTTTACTCTAGTGGTTTAAAAACACCCAATGATATTTTTATTGGAGTATTTGACAAAACTCCCTCATATGACATTAATTATTAGAGGGAGTTCACTTTTTTTCCCCCTAGCCACACTAGTTTTCTCTCCCTCTTTCTCTCTCTCTCGATATTTCTCTCTTCCCCATTTCTTTCTTCCGCTTTTCTTCTCTTGGCGATGGAATGAAGAACCATTAAGACGGAAAAACGCAAGAGAAGGCATAACCAGAAAAAATCGATGACGACGAGATTCGGTCCCAACGACCGGATCTGTAGCCGACGAGCAGATCTTGGTGGGGGGTTTCGTTTCCCTTTTTCTATTTCTTGTGCAGAAGAGAGTTTGAGGTTATTGGTGTTCTGATATATATATATATATATATATATATGGGGTTATTTTACATACCTCCTACCCACCAAATAAACTAGGGATAAACTCAATCTCAAATCATCCTTTGACATACCCCTGAAGAAGCGAAAGTACTATACTACCCTTATATGCAATTTTTGGCCAAACGGCATTCAGCATTTCTAGTCCTGCATTTATCATTTTCGCTAATTTATTTAATACTATTTTTTTAAGGGGATCACTATAACAAATCCCAACTTTTGCTTAGTTAAATACTACAAAGTTTAAAACCACAATTGAGTACATATTTATAAGTTTTTTTCTTACTTTAATACCAAAATAAAATGAAAAGTACAAAACCACCATTTCATACAAAATACCAATTATATCAAAATCTTTTTGAAATTACTTATTTTAAAACCAAATAAAAGAAAAAAAAAACCCTTTCAACTCACCAGTGCGTCGCTCCTCCCCTCCACCGTCGCCCACCGCCGCTCCTACCCTCGCCGCCGCCGCCGAAACCTCCATCGTTATCAAGCCGCCGCCGCCTTCGTTATCACAAGTAATATTTGGTTTCGATTTTTTTTTTCTTTAATATTTAGTTAGGATTTGATTGTTTGATATGGGTAATTAGGATTTGATTGTTTTAGGTATGAATGATCATTAATTAGTAATGGGTGCATCTAATTTTAATCGATTTGAGCATTGATTTGAGATTTCGTGGGTTGTTCTTCGTTTCACAAAAATCGACCTGTAAGTGTCGATTTTTGCAAAATTTTAGGCAGATTGCTGTCGAAAATTATGCAAAAATGGACACCTTATTGTCGATTTTTGTGAAAATTTTGAAATTTAATTTTTGTTAATTCGACAGTAACCTATCGATGACGAATACGTACGGATACGACTGTGCCAACTTAATGCATTTCGGGTGGATCCACAACAAGTCGGTAATCGCATTAAACTCGTTCGATCTATGGTACGAGAGGTATTCATCTTCTTTCAACTTGGCGAACAATAGTTGCAATTGAGATCTCCCAGATAATTCATTGAAATTTAACTTAGAGATAGTATTGTAAACTGTCTTCATACCAGTTACATTAGACGGGTCATTTTGCTTCAATAATCTTAAAATTGCCATTGGTTTCACCATTGTTTTCTTCAAAGTGTGAACAAGTGAAGTCTCCTCATTTGATAATCTTCCGGCATAAGAGTGTCCGTGCAAGTTTTCAAACAAGTTGTGGTTGTGAATACCACTATGAACATCCAATTTCCACTCAGCCTTTTCATCATCCTTGTGTTCTTTTGTCCCCTTCAATTTAAACGGATAATTGCATTTCTTTGAACCGGCGCTCCTTTTTCCCGGTCTTTGATCATCTTAACCGGGTACCTTCTTGCCAGCATAAAGGCCCCCACGCTCACAACAAACAATCACATACGGTGTCCTACGTCCTCTATTCTTGTTACTCGAACCCGCAATCATTAACACCATTCTAATTATTTTACATACTTCACGAACCCATGCAAATAAAGCTTCTTTTGTTGGGAATTTTTCTGACGTGGTAAATGAATGGGTGCAATCGATCTACACAAAAGTGGATAAAAGATTAGACAAGTAAATTTGCAACAAGAAAAAATCGACACTTAAGAACCGGTAACTGTCGAATTTAACCACTATTTTTGACACCTAAGTGTCGAAAATGAGGATAAATTCGACAGTTACCCGTCGAAAAGATATAATATCAATTATTATGTGTTTCGACACATACATGTCGAAAAATAAGCACAATTTCGACCTGTATGTGTCGAAATGTGATGGCGGATTTTAAAAAAATAAAATAAATCAAAATCGATGTTTTAGCTCAAAAAATACATGGATACATACCTTAATGAGTTCTCCTTGCTCGTAAACTACCATTCTATTGTCATTTGACGCCATTTTGCAAGTTGTGTAAGGTTTTGATTTCTTTAGTTTTGAGGTTTTTTAGGAGGGTTTTTGGGGGAGGGAGAAGAAGGAGGTGGAGGAGGTGAGGGGTTTGTGAGTGAGGAGGAAAATGGGTTTTGAGGGGTTTTGATTATTTGGTATTTAAGAAAGAAAAATAATATTTGTAATATTTTTTTGGTTTTGATTTTCATTAGGGGTATTAAAGTAATTTACTATTAATTATTTATTTTTTATTTTTTTGGTATTCAAGTAAGAAAAAGTTGGGATTTGTTATAGTGATCCCCTTTTTTTAATAAACCTATTTGTTAAATATATATATATATATATATATATATATAATCTTTTTTAATTTTTTAATTTTTTTTATACACACGAATATTGGCTTATACAAAAGAAATATTATAAATCCCAACAACAAAAATTTACAAATTTCAATATTTATATTATAAATCAAAGCAGAACCAATAAAATACAAATAAAAAATACACAAATATATTCATATGTAACTATATAGTAATGTACAGTAATGTATACAGTCTGTTGAACAAAACAGATGTAATTTCAACCAGAAATTTTGACACCTTCAAGGAAATGATTAATGGCGTTCATTAAGCTGCAATTGCAAAATCAAAACAAAAAAAATTATTTTAGTGTAAATCAACAAAAATTAAAGAAACATCAAAATACTCGAAAAACAACAAACAATGAGATATCGAGAGAGAGAGAGAGAGAGAGAGAGAGAGAGAGAGAGAGAGAGAGAGAGAGAGAGAGAGAGAGAGAGAGATATAGAGAGAGAGAGAGAGAGAGAGAGAGAGAGAGAGAAGCCATAGCTGCGAATTTGAGATCAAATCGTGAATGACTCCTCACCCCAGGCGTCTCCTATCAAAACCCTAGCCGTCGCTAACCACCCAAGATTCCGCGCTCACAAATGCAAAAAAATATATAAATAAATCTAAAAATATAAAAATTAATGAAATTGACATCAAAATATAGATCCCGACGAGACGAATCCAACGGTAGGTAACCCGTCAAATTCCGATTGGCGAGAAACAAATTACACCTCTGGTAAGACCACCGTCGTCGAAATACGCCGACAAATTTTTTTTTGCAGAAACAGATCCAACTCTCTAAACTGAATGAAATAACCACCAAAAGAAAGAGCTTGACGAGAGGAATCCAACTATAGTTGAACCATCGAATTCCGACCACGGGAGAGAGAGTTATGACTTCGGGAAGCAATATCGCCGGTCAGAGACCTTGGGGGCGGAATTTGGATCTGGGAATTGAGAGAGGAAGATAGAGACCGATACGGGTTGGCTAGGGTTTAAAACTGTTTTAAAAGGGTATTCTAGGTACTTTAGGGTGGGCTTGGGGGGTATGTCAAATTATTATCCAAATGGAGGAGGTTTGCACTATGGTGTAAACAACATGGTAGTTAGTTATATACATTTTCGAAATAAGGGGTTAATCTAATTAATAAAAAGGATTAATTATTAGTTAAATTGCTGAACAACTTATCATTAAGTGGTGTCCTTTATAGTGGTTTGATAGTTTCTTTTTACTGAAATTTGATGTTTTCTTACTTCAAAAAGGCGAAATCCCTCGCCCCCAAGGCCCTCATCCCTTGGCCCGACAAGTATTTTACGGAGGGATGTAAATTCATGGGCGACTCAACGGCCCGTTAGAGTAGCGGACCCGGACCTGGTGCTCACAAGGAACCAACCATCATTGGAATTGAAATTCTCACACTGCGGCTGCCAGGATTCATTTCTATGTCCTTGCTCCAACTTACTACCCCGGAACCAGTTGAGTTATACTCATGCGGGCAAATTTATTTATTTATTTTATTTTTCTGGTCAAATTCTTTATAGTGGATTACGTTTATTTAGTAGTGGATTTGCTCTTATTTAATAGTGGATTTACGTTTCTTTAATAGTGGTTTACGTCAATTGCGTAGCATATTACTTTTTTGATAATGGATTATGTTAATGATATAGTGGACTCAGATAAGTTTGTAGTGGATTACGTTAATTTTATATTTGGATTACGTTAATTTTATAGTGGATTCCGATAAATTTATGGTGGACTTCGATAAATATATAGCGGATCTCGATAAATATATAGTGAGTTTTGATAAATGTCTTCTTTTTCTTTGTTATAGGTTCTTGAGCAAGCGGAGCCATGGCACCAAGGTTTACTAGATTAGGTGATGCTCCAATGATTCTACTATTGTCATTAGTGGCGATATTTGTTGATGCCTTTTTAAAAAAAAATAAAACGGAATAATAGTAGTAGTTTTGTTAATTTAATAGTGTATTGCGTTAATTTAATACTGTATTCGTTGATTTTGTAGTGAATTATTTTAATTATATAGCATATTACGTGCACATAGTGGATTTCAATAGGTTTGTAGGAATTTCAATTTGGTAAAATATGCTGGAAACAAATTAAAAAAATAACCAATTTTTTAAATGAAATTAAAATAAATAAATAAAAATAGAAAAATTGAAAAAATCCATTTAAAAAATGAAATAAAAAATAATAGTTTAAAAACGAACTGAAGATTAAAAAAAACTGATAAGAAAAATTAAACATAAAAGCCCAAAAAATATCAATTGGGGTAAATTAGGTATTCTGTTATAGGAGGGGTTATCTAAAAAATTGGATTTGTCCCTCGTACGAAATTGAAAATAACCCCTATTTTTATTAGCAAAAACCTCTACATTTTAATTTTATCAACAAACTACCGACGGAGACTCACCGTTTAGAATTTAAAGGTGTAAATGAGTCGAGCTAGAGTCAAATTTAGTGAGCTCGAGCTTAGCTCATTTTATTATTTATTATTTTTTTACATAATATTAATATTAGATTTTATTCTAAATTATTTATAATAGAAAAAAAGTTATGAAATTAAAAATATAATTGAAATTTATTATTTAATTATATATATAATTATATTTATTATTATATATCAATTATATTTATATTAAAGGTGTAAAAAATAAAATATAAAATATAAAAAAGCTCGTGAGCCGGCCCGTGAACTTAGAACAACTAAGGATGTGCTCGAGCTCGAGCTCATCAGAAAGCTCGAGCTCGAAAAACTCGAGCCGACCCATTGAGCTCACGAGCTGGCTCAGCTGGTCGGCTCATTTACGCCCACTAATTTAGATAATTGTGTGCTAGAAATGCATCATATTATAAGTAGGGATTTTTATGCAAAAGTCCCCAACCAAGCATGTTTATTATTCTAGGTTTAGGGGACATATCTCTTTTACCAATAAGCCCATCCCTTTAATATTTATTATAACTAAAGGAAACATTCATGTATATCCCAATATTACCCTCAACCATTTATACCCAATTCTTAATTGTAATCCAAATTAATCAATTTTGTCCATAAAAGTTCAATTTTGACCACAAAAATTCAATTTTGACTTTTTTTTGGAGTATAATTTAATATGCTCCAATTTCATCCTTAACTTAATTTAATCTCAATTTGACCCCAAATTTCACAAATTATTAAATTTTGACCCAAAATTTTTTTTTTTTCAAAAAATATTTTTTTTTTCAAAAACTTTTTTTTTGCCGCCGGATTCCGGCGTTGACTTTTTTAATTTTTTTTATTTTTTTTATTTTTTCTTTCTTCCGGATTTTTTCG